TGATGTGCAAATTTGAACCTCCTAACTTTTAAGGTCAGGTCACCAGGTCACTTTGAATGACCCAACCTCAAGTCGCTTTTTTGCAACTTTGTCACCGTGCCAGAGCTACAGTAGATGTCGGAGGCCTTTGAAAGTCGCAGGATGTTATTAGGTCATTAGTAGCTACAATTTGTATATCTCGGAATTTTGATATCGGTGACCTAAGGTCAGGTCAATTTCTCGACCTCCCCATTATAAGTCAATGGGGGAAAAATCAACTCCCTGTTTTTACCACTAAAACGGGTCGGAATGGCCCCATATACCATACATGACTTCATATACGATCAACCGACACTATCTTGAGGTCTGTTTTGCTGTTGGGCAGCTGTAAGGTCATGTGACGTCATCAAAGGTCACCAAAGGTTTTTTGCCAATAACTCCGTACAAGAACAAGATACAGCCGCGCGGATGGTCTCATTGTGTTCAGCTCGTCAAGACGCATAGAATGATATACATGATGACCTCGAGGTCACGTGACCTGAGGTCAACCTTTGACCTTGACCTTCCGAGGTCAACATATATATCGTTCGATGCGGATTGACAAGAGGATCACGATGGTGCCCTCAGATTGTTCCTATCTTGACTAGTTCGAAAGTTATTCGAGAAAAACTCTCCATATCTAGCGCCGCCATTTTGACTTTTTTGACCCCTGGCCTGTGACGTCATCTTTGACCTGACCTGAAAATGACCTTTGTAAAAATTGTAGACCTTGTCCGTGTGTATCCCATGCCGTTTACCGCTTGTCGTTATCTTGCTTCGTTCTCGAGATCTTAGGGGGGGGGGGGCGGTCATCCGCCCCCCCCCCCGTCGGTACGAAGTTGGCGCAGACCCCCGTCGGTGCGCGGGTTAACATCTTTCATCTTCACATTCATGACGTGAAAATTGATATAGGTTGTTTTCAAGCCGGTTTGGCTCCAAATACGTTTTTCGGCTAAGCATGCGTTTTACCAGCGAAAAGAGCAAAAACTAAACCTGAGAAAATCGAACGTCGCCCAAGTTTAACACGTGAATTATTCCCCATAATTTCCACACGTGCCTTTTTGGAACTTGTTTTTTTTAAGGCCTTTGGCTCCAAGTATATTTTCCGATTCTCAGGATCGTCATGATGGTCCTTAGCCATCGTGAGGGTCTCCATGGGTCTCTGGTGCAAGGCCCTCAGAGTCATTGGTAAGGCCGTCATAGGCCATCGTTAGGGCCCTCAAGAGACCGTCGCAGGTCCCTCAGATGCCAGCATACCCGCCTCTGCAGCCTGGTTGTGATGGGGCCCTCAGAGGCCGTCGTGGGGTCGTCTGAAGCCAGATGGGCCCTCAGACCTGAAATGGGTGAGGATCTAGGGCCCCCAGAGACCTTCGTGGGGCCCTCAGAGGTCAGCGTGGCCCCGGGAGTATCTGATGGACCGTCAGCTGCCGTCATGAGGGCCCTTGGTGGCCGTTGTAGGGCCCCCAGGGGCACGGGTCGCCGTGAGAGTCCTCATAGATCATCGTAAGGGCCCTCAAAGGCCATCGTTGGGGCCCTCAGATGCCGTTATGGGGCACCAAACGCTGTTCAGGACTCTTCTAGGCGGTGTGGGTCCCCAAAGACTGGCCTGGGGTGCCCCTGATCATAATTGGATGATCGCACATCATCGTTCGTTTCCTGATCACTGGTTTCAGGAGAATATGTATGGCATGGTGTCGCGAGCCCCTTGTGCGGATTTAGGAGGGTGCAAAAAGATATGTTTGCACCCTATGTTTTTCGATGGGAGTGTAGCTGCGCCCCCTATTCTGCCGCCACTGATTGCATGTTCACCCGCTCTATGAGGCGTAAAGACATTGTGCCACCAATTCGCTATCACCCACCCTTTGGCAAATGCAGACTGCCCAGGTCAATTTAATTTTAATCGTTACAGCTGCTCTTAGACGCTGTCGGCGACGAGTGCTGAACAAAACGCGAATAGATGTCGCCTCAGTGCCTACTGCCTACACGAACCCAGCGAGCAGCGACTTCTGTATTCTTACGTCTGCAAGAGGCGGTTTCAATAGGAAAAAGTATATCTACTATCGGCATCTCAGTGTATGATGAACCATATGAGTGGTGGATGACATGAATGTGGCATATGCATTATGCAAGGCATAGGTGATGGAAAATGGAGAGTGTGCATTGTGCGACGAAATAATAAATTGACAATGCGGACTTACGTCCAAATTAGACTGTTCGCCTCGGAGCCCAATAGCAGCTTGTTTATCTTTGTACATTCATAGCTAATGCATCATAGGCAATGTATGTTAACCCACGAGCCGCTGGGGGGGGGGCATAAAGTTGCCCCCCTTTACGTTTTGTGAAATATCTCCGGAACCTGATGAGCTACGAAGGTGAAACTTGGCATAGCTTCAAATGAATACCTAGGCAATGTTTGAGGAAACTTTGGTGGTTGTAGCACCAAAGATGACGTCACAGTGACGTCATAAAGTTTTGTCGTTTTCCGATATGGACCGTTTCTGATGACGTTGAGCATGAAACTCAACTGTAAATGAACTAGACAGCACCTGCTGTCATCCTAAAACATCTAACTACACTTCCATCTAGTTTCTGACCAATAATCGACCCTTTATATTCGGTCCCATATATCTGATGTATCGTGAGGAATATGAGAGTCGCAAATCTATAATTTCACTTATGACGTCACTGTGACGTCATTTCAAATGGGATCGACACCAAATTTGGACACAACCTCGGCTAGGTATTCAGGAAGATGTGTGCAAAGTTTCGCTTCTCTATCTCTTCGCGTTGCGACGATATCGTCGCAGAAGTAAAGGGGGGGGGGGCAACTATATGCCCCCCCCCCAGCGGCCGGAGGGTGGCGCGGAGGCCCAGCGGCCGCCGGGTTAACTGTAGCTGTATGTTACATCATTGGCCACTTCATACGTGTGTTTAAAGAAATGGTAAATACTAGGTAGGTACATAGATGGACAATGGAATGATGGACATGGAAGTGGCATGTTATCACGGCTGGAGTGACCTCGGCACCAGTAATAACTGCCGATCAGTTTGCATATGACACAGCAAAGTGCCTATCAGCAGAGGTGAATAAAACTCAAAAGCTGTCACCTACGCGATGTCTAGCTGTCACCAATTTTTTACAAGTAATCTTGAAACAGAAAGTACTTTTTTGACGTTTTCTCATCACCTTTTTAGGCCTAAAAATTTAAAATGAGGCTAGAATGTTAGAAAGAAACTGACCTTTCAAATTTCGGCCTCTGGGCATTACAACGCATCACCACATTTCAGTGACACAACAACAAAAATAAATCACTACCATCCAACTTACCTATAGGTCTGATCGACGTCCTAGCTCGTCCTGGCTTCCTGATCCAGTTCAATCAGAACTCACGAAAGGATTGTCAGTAGTCACTTATTCACTTGCCTTTACTTCAGAAGTCAGAACCAATTATCAACGCTCCTACCAAGTTTCTGGGACCGATGGTCATGGACCTCACCCCAGTTGTGGCCCAGATGTGACGTCCCCCGTCCCAGTCGCCCGGTCCTTCCCTACTCCGGCGGCGGCCAAGGCCGCGCCGGCCGCGCCGCGCGGTCCCCGCCGCCGTTCAACCGGCGACGAGCGGAGACGAGCTGTCGCGCTGTCGCCGTTTTTCCTCCGTTGTCTATGGCGCTTCACAACGCACCGGCCGTCGCACCGGCGGGATTTTTCAGCCCCAGCTGTCTACGAAGAGATGACGCTGTTAAATTTTTGTGCCGTGGTCCATAGTGGCCCTCTATGGGAAGACAGCTCTGATTTGAGCGGAAACGGCTTGTTATCTATTTTAAATGCATTAGCTGAGATGCTCGAATCTGTCTCTTTATTCCTATGGCTGTCACCTACGCACGCAGGCGAGTAGCAGGGTTTTTCACCTCTGCCTATCAGTTTTAGTGATAGTATCGACTATGGTAACACCGCCGTAGCATTTGCGGCATCACAGCATTGACGTCTCATGGAATCTATCGTAGACGTCAAATAACATGCAATGTGTATTGTGATTGCCTTAATATATTCTACCACGATAAGCTGGTACAATGAACTCAACTGTAGTAGCAGCTGAGGATGAGCATATTTAGTAGATGTGATAAATGTAGTAAATGTAGTAACTTAGTGGTAGTAAATATGTTTGCATATGCGTAGGGATGTGGTGGCTCAAGGGTACTGATCTGGCGCTGCTTCCTGCCTCTGCTGAGAGGTGACGGCAGCACATTTTCGCTACTGAATAGCCCGATTTTCTGAAAAATGCATGTGTCCAGCAATGATGACAATTGATAATGTAGTGGCAAGCCCTTGGCGTCAATATTTCCTAGTTGGATTGCAATCAAGACATCATTCTTTGAATACCACACATTGCTTACACGATACTGCCGAGTCGGTTTTTTGTCGGCTTGTCATATTTTGCATGGAAAAAAGCGTTAGATTCTCCTATTCCACATCAAATTAATTTATCACTATTCCAAGCTTTACGACTTCCCGGAGTTCAACAGGTAATTAAAAAAAAAAGATTTATATTCCGTGGTTTACGCAGCTGTTATGAATTGATGTTAACTTGCCTCGGTTATAACAACGATTTTTTTTTTGAGGAGTAAAAAATGTATGAATCGCAACCCATATTGAAGTATATTTCTAGTGCTTTGGAAGGAAGTGTGGAGTAAGGGCTAACATGATGCCTGACGTCATTGAATTATAATTGGAAAACAATGGGAACGTTTTTGGGTTATATTACTTGTTGGCTACACATGTGTTTCGATATAAATCTTTTTCAAGACGTCACTGTAAATGTGTAGCCATGTGTAGCCAACTTAAAGTAATATAACCCAAAAACGCTCCCATTGTTTTCCAATTATAATTCAATTTATTTATCAATATCAAACTGACGTCATTGCTTTGAAATATGCAGAATTGCAAGTCCCGCAGGGCATAGAGTCCAGTTCAGAGTCCGACCTGGTCGTGTCAGTAACTATATTGCTCAACATCAACAGATATTACACGTGCGGGATGAAAAGATGCGTCACATGTCAACGTCCATCATATAAAAACGTCAGGAACATAATGCGTGATTAGTGATACAGAGATGACCTAGCTATCATGCAGCACTCAATTAGCGTCCGAACTGGTTACTGAAGGCGTTGTTGCTGGCGCTCTGCTGCCCTCCGAAGGGTCCGAAACTCTGAGCGGCGTTGCTGTTGGCACGGTTGAAGGAAGATCCACCGCCGAATGCAGAGCCCTGAAACCATGAGCAAAATGTCATTTTGAACTTAGTGCCTTTTGTGACATTTTTGTCTCTTGAGTTAACAGTATCTTAGAGAAAACTCACCAGACAGTGACTATGTGTATGACAATGCAGCATCGCAGAAACGTGGAATGGTTATTGTCATAGTCTTAAGTCATGTATTGTAACGTTAATGACAACAACTTTGAAAGCTGGAAGCATCTGATATGGGAAATGATATTCCAAAAGCATCCTACCCAAGAACAGCACGACAACTCACCTGTGCGTTAGCGAAGCTGTTCTGAATCTGGCTGTTTCCGAAGAGACCACTGGTCTGTCCCTGAGTGGATCCAGAGTTGGCGCTTCCCCTGGCACCACCAAATCCACCGAGTCCAAATCTACCAAACTGGGGCTTGGCAGCGACGGCCACCAGCAGGCAAGCGAGAACGACGGCAACCTTCATGTTGAAGTCTGCAAGAAAACAATGACCAGTTAGTGATCATGAATCATGATAGTGTATGCTGGGTAGCAGTTAACGATAAATTATGCTAGTTCAGGCTACTGATCAACACAATGATAAGCTTATTATGAAACAAATGATGCAAGATGGCATTTGTCACAAAACGCGCTGGGCTGCAAATACTGAAAAGCTAGCGCCAAAAAGTCGATTGAGCTTTTCCAGCTGCTGAAATAAAGGCTAAGTAACTCGCATGAAATCGTACACCGAAGTCAAATATCTTTTAAAGTTAGCATCAATCCAGAATCACCAATGGCATTCCAATACAGTCATCACCTCGGATAACAAACAGTATTCCTAGATGCAATTACTTCTATGCACACAAGTTGCAAGTATTGAGCTGCTATGAACGGCCATATTACGCTTACCTTTGCGTAGTGAGCGACTCGCACGGGTTCGCAGTGGATTGCTTAATGACTGTCGCAGCGTCGACCCGTATCTTATACCGTCTTGCGCCAGAACGGGTTTTCCGCGCCTGCACAGTCTGGCCAGGCAGCTCTGGGAATCGCGTGGCCCGCCCGCCACGCAAATCCTTCCATGTTAATCGTTTCCTGGTGGTAATTCTTGAAAACTTGCAGCAGCGGTAACATTTTTGCAGTTAAGCAGTTATCAGAAACGCCTACCTGTAAGGCTGCCGATGTGGAGAGATTACCTTATTACTCGGGTTACCTTTCTTCGATTGATATTTACAATGACGGCGGGGCTAAAAGGCAACAAAGTATACTTTCGCACCACTCACTTTACTCATCGCTCTCAGCCTTTCAAAGCAGCAGCTGCTTGAGGTGACGTTTAAACGCAAATTCAGTCAGGCACTTCGGCCTTAGCCTCGCACGATGACTGATATAACATAACACTGCTGTGTGACAACCACTTGACAAAATGTATTTGATCCCGGGCATGAAAGTTGTCTGAGTGTGGCAAATGTGGCGAGGAGTGGATAAAAATGAAAACAGGACTGCAATGTCTGTAGGTAAGTCCCTAATCAGGTAAATCAAATCAGGCGAAGTCTGCGGAAGGTAGCAAGTTGCTCGGCGCGGAACACGAACACGCCGGAAATGTGATCAAACTTGGGCAGGCCTCTCACAACTCGAGCACAGAAATGCAAGTTTCTGAATGCGATGTGGTTGTGCTTTACTGCCAGGACCCGAAGGCTTCGAGTGACCATGCCTCTAATCAATTTTGTTATTCTGCCATTCGGCATTCGTACAGTTTACTTTCCATAAGTTTGAAACTCGAGCTATTGCATGAGGAAATCATTACCAACAATTCACATGCCTCGGAATTTTTATATCGGTGACCTAAGGTCGAGTCAATTTTGAGATCGTTATAAGCCAATGGGAGAAAATTGAAATACTCTTCTTTTGGACAAAAACATCGTCAACAGTTTAAAAAAAAGTTGTAACCCTCGCCTGGCGAGGGGGGTTTGATGCAACCCCCCACTAAAGTTTTTCGCAAATAACGTAAAAACGGCGGCCCGTAGCGCCGCCAAATTTGGCATACCTGAAAATTTGAAGTCCCAGTCTTTTCAGGTCAGGTCACCAGGTCACAAAAACCGGTACAAGGTCAGGGGAAAATTGGACTAGCTTAGCGGCAACTGAATTCCAGAGCTCACCTAAATTGGTAACAAAGTATACCATTCGGTGCGTACGACGTCCTGAGTTCACTGGTGCTTTTATTTTTGCTCTATCGTTACTTGGTAAAAAGTTATAAGCGAAAAACATTTGACATGTTTTAGCAAAATGTTTGCACTAATACCCCCCCAAAACCCCCCTAAATATTGACTTAGAGTCACCAAACTTTCACAGGGGCGAGATCGAGGTCTCCTATGGACCCACCTACCCTGTAAATTTGGCGTTTCTAAGTGCCATAGGAGCCAATCGGCAGGGGGGGGTCGTACGAACCCCCCTCCCTCGCCGTCCGTGTTATGGAAAAGGCCCTCGCCTGGCGAGGGTTAAATAGGAGCATGCGTGGGCGCTGAAAGCACCGTGCATGCGTTCAGCTCAACGATACGATTCGAAAAATCTGCATCTTTGACCTTGACCTTCGGTCAAATTTTGAAGTTGACCTTTTCAGGTCAACTTATACACCTTTTTTCGTCCGAATTCACAAAGATGAAGTCCAAATTCACAAAGCTGAATTCCAAATTCACCAAGCTGAATTCCAAATTCACAAACCTAAATTACGAATTCAAAAGTCAAAAGTCCAAATTCACAAACAAAAAGTTGGAATTCAAAAAGATAAGATCGAATTTCAAAAAGCAAAAATGTGATTTCAAATAAGTAACAAGCAATTTCACAAACCAAAAATGCAATTTCAAAAAGATAATGCTGGATTTCAAACGTTGTTTCTTGTTGTTTTCTGATGATATGTTACCTAGCTCTTTTAACATATACCTACAATTTAAAATGACAAAATATTTTGTTTTTTTCGGATGTAAAAATAATGTTCCTATATCTTCAGAATTTGTCGGTTTTAGCTTATAGTGGATACCTAATAACGTGATAATGAGCAGAGTGGCCATCTGCAGGCACTGATCTCGTTGAAATAAATGCAAGGCAACGGACGGACAGTTTTATTTGCGACTTAGACAAAAACAACGCAAAGCTGCTTGTCTGACAACGCCGTAGAGCACGTTTGGAACTAAGCCACTACAAATCAGAAACATATCTTGAACCTCCATCACTCTCACACGCCCATCGCCAGGTCGGCCAGGGCCACGCACCCGGCATAGTGGCGCTGGACGTGATTGTAGAAGTTCATGCACATCACCGGGTTGATGCACTCCATGGCGGCGTCCATCTTGGCCTCCAGGTAGCGCAGCCGGTGCTCCTGCTGGGTGATGCCGTCAGTCGTGTCCATCATGGCGCTGAATGATGACGCCATGCCCCGCTTCATGTTCGCCTTCACTGCAGACCAGACAGCCTCAATCGGGTTCAACGGCGCGCTGTATGGCGCTGTCCGTACCAGCTCCAGACCAGGGAACTCGGCTGCAACTGCCTCCAGGTCACAGTGTACCGGCGCGTTGTCACAGACGATCGTCACCTGGTCGAGCGGCAGAGGGCAGGCCTGCAGGGCACGTCGCAGCCAGTCAGAGCAGTCCGTCTTCCGAAAGGACCCTCGTCGGCGCTCCCAGTAGATGATGCCGGTCTGCGACATCAGCCCGATGATATGGACGTTGGGGCCCTTACTGGTGGCGGCCTTCACCGAACATCGCAGGCCGCGGCGGGATCGGCCCTGAGAACGCCGCAAAAACAGGTTCGCGTTCGTTTCATCCATGTAGAGCACCGATCTCCCACTCCCCGTCGCCGCCATCACCTTTCGCACGTACTCGGCCCTCTTCTGCTTATTTGCGGCGTTGTTCATGGCCACTGGCTCGGCCACGACCTTCTTCATAGTAAACAGCTGGCCGTGCAGGTGGCGGTGGATGGTCGGGACGGATATGGTGACACCGGTGTCCTGGCGCAAATTGCGACCGATCTCCACGAGAGATATCAATGGATTCTCTTCGACGTAAGTGACCATCTTGTCGACCATCCCCTGGGTAACTTTCTTCTTTGTGGCACCGCCACGGGGACGCGGCAGCTGTCCTTCGGGCCTCGTAATGTACCCGTAGGCAGTGCGGACCGGAATTCCATTCGCTGTCGCAGCCGCCTTCCAGTCTCCACCTTCATTGAACACGGCCACGACCCGCTCTTGGGCATCCCGGGGGATCCGCTTGTACGGCCCACGCCTGGTGCCCGGCGGAGGGCCGCGCCTGCCTCGCGGCTGTGGTGGGCCGTCACCGCCACCGGCAGGTCCAGCTTCGTCAGGAGCTCCGTCAGGAACTGGATTTTCAACCTCTGTCAATTCTACCTCAACTTGCATATCCCCATCATGGTTAAAAAAATAGTCAACCTCCGTTGAGGACTGAGACATACCTGGCTACAATAAAATAAATCACAGCAAGTTATTGACGTTAACAGAGCAAATGAGGTAAGCATCTGTGAGTTCAACGTTCAGAATGATTCATGTGGATTCATAAACAATTGTTGTAAAAAATCACGTGTTCCATGTGCTATTTTTGTTAAATGAGTTCCTCCAAATAGGAATATTACATAATATTAGCAGATGTATTCCTCATGCGGAAATTTATGTACCTTTTCTTATAAGCACCTCTTATAAAAATATAAAATTCAGGTGCAGCAGCTTTGTCTGTAGTTAGTTCAGAATATCTTTTGAAATCAAACATTATCTTTTTGAAATTGCATTTTTGTTTTGTGAAATTGCTTGTTACTTATTTGAAATCACATTTTTGCTTTTTGAAATTCGATCTTATCTTTTTGAATTCCAACTTTTTGTTTGTGAATTTGGACTTTCGACTTTTGAATTCGTAATTTAGGTTTGTGAATTTGGACTTCAGCTTTGTGAATTTGGAATTCAGCTTTGTGAATTTGGACTTCATCTTTGTGAATTCGGACGAAAAAAGGTGTAGTTCATTCTACGCGTCTGGACACGAAAAAACGCGATGCAGGTAAAATCAGGGTGATGCAAGCTTGTGTCAAAAGTTATTTCAGGAAAACGTTTTCCGTAAAAACGTCAAATTCTGAGTGTTTGCCCTCTGGAGGCTAAACCGTTAACTTAGGGCCGATCGCAGAACGATGTTCAAAGAGACATTCGAAAGAGCTATGGAATTGAATGCGCCTTTCCTCGGCGCTGTAGCTCCATTGGTTTCCGACTTATGCGCCGATTGATGCAAGTTGTCAAAATCGGTAGCCAAAATTCGTGATATTTTTATTGTTGTTGACCTTCAGTGACTTCAGCGATGACCTGACCGAAAAATGGTCGAATGATTCGGACAGATTTTATAGCGATTTATCTATTGCTTTTTACCGCGTTTTTTTTTTTAGTTTGCTTTCTTTCTGAGATAACCTGGTGAGGCCAAAAAGGCCCCGATCATGGTGAAGTTGGCTTAGCGCGGGATAAAGCCGCCTGACCCATCTTTTCAGGAACCTGTCTCTGAGAAGTTTAAATTGGTCGATTTCCGAGTTGTGTCTGCGTTTTGGGATGGAATGAATGAGCGGTTTGGTATGATTATCGAGTTCTGTGATTTTGGAGTGCGTTTAACCCGCGCCCCGTAGGTCTATCGGCGGACCCTACCACCCGTAGGGGGGGGGGGGGGCGTTTCGCCCCCCGCTAAGATCTCGAAAATTTACCGGCCCATTTTCAAAATTCAAACAGTGTTCGATAGCCCCACCCGGGAACTACCTTGTGACCAAATTTCATTGACCTAGGTCAAACCGATGACGTCACAGGTCAGGTCAAAGGTCGGATTTTCACCGTTCACAGGCATTTCAAGAAATGTGTTGTGAAATCGAGTAAATTGGTAATTTATTGAAAACCATCGATGGTACGTTGTTCGTCAAACACATA